GCCTTAGTCTGTCAAGTACAGATTTTATTCTAATCCTTGTTCATCATTGCAGGATCGTGAAGCCGCTTTAGCTGGTAAATTGACTGGCAAACAGCTTTTCTTGAGGGATGCCACTCTCAGTCTGTCTGATGTTGCGTTGATTGAACAGAGTGTTGAGATCGACGAATCTCTTTTTGACGAGGCGAGCTCTTTCTGTGTCCTTTTTTATTTTCTGTACTATAGATCATACTATATGAAAGATGTTGTCTATTTTTTCTCTCTCTATGCTTCTTGTCTACTGGAGTAAATTTCAGGAGATCGAAGGACTTGAGTTGGATTCTGACGAAGATTGATCTGCAACAGCTCTTGTTATAATAATCTTTATATGAAGAACCTTCAAAATGTCGGGTATCATGCAGTCAGTTCAATTTCACTATGTATACTGAGTATGTGATAAAGAGTATGCTTTGCCATTTTGTTATTTGTTTAAGTCAATGTCATGTTACCTGGGACTTTTTTGGTTTGATATTTATCTCTTCGGTATCTACTTTATGTTATTTTTTCATCTATGACTTAGTCCCTTCTTTTTGGTATGGTTTGCTTGCAGAATGTCTTATTCAGACGGCAGGGCATCGTCCAGTCGCGGATCAGGAAATAGTAGGAATTCGGTGGGCAATCTTTGGGTGATGAAGTTCATTACACATATCTTGATTCAGAATGGTCGGACACAAATAACACCCATCCACATCCACCATACGCATGTACCATCAATGCCTTCTTTGCTGCAGGTATTTCGAAGTCTACATTCAAACACTCTGCGAACGAGCGGCCTTTTTTTGAGGTAAAATCAAAATTCGATTCGGAGTGGCGGAGGTTTTCTTTGACTCCCAGCAACCCCGAAGTACACTCGTATGATAGTTTTCGTGGACTTGTGGAAAAGTTACATCATTTGGAGAGTGTGCCATTCACTCTTTGCTACAATGCAGCATGTGGTGATCTTCTGCCAATCACGAACGACGAGGCAAGTTTACAATGTGCTTGTACCGATTACCTTTCGAAACTTCCACGATACTACAGTGGTATGTTATCGACGTGAGTGCTCTGCATCATATTTGTTGT